AAAGAAAATGTGTAAGAATCACCTGAAGATCCTTCTAAATGCAGATTCTTGGGCCCTGCTTCCAGAGACTGATTTGTCTTACGAGAGCCCAAGAAACAGTGGTTCTACCAGCTCCTTCACATGATTCTTTGTGAAACACAGGCCTCAGGTTCTGGACTCTTCCCTCTTCTCAGAACAGCAGTTCTCAACCGCAACCCATGGGAACTGGGTTCTGCAGCATTAGGAAGGTTGAGAACCACTGCCCTAGAAGATCCTTAACATTCTCCAGAAGTTATCTCAGATGTATGCAGTTCCCGGACTGTCACCTGGGCACACTGTGGCGCCTCTACTTAGTGTGCTCAGAAGCAAACTTCTCCTCTCACCCCTCCACCCTGTGTTCCTGTGCTGCCTCCAGTGTCACTTGCCTCCCTGCTGTGGCCTTGACTCATGCTAACGTATCATCAACCTCATCCTCCCTAAGCAGGGTGCAATTTTTTTTTAAATGGGGGAAAGGGTTTTTGGGTTTTTTTTTTTAGAGACAGTTTCACTTTATTGCCCTCGGTAGAGTACCGTAGCGTCACAGCTCACAGCAACCTCCAACTCCTGGGCCTAGGCGATTCTCTTGCCTCAGCCTTCCAAGTAGCTGGGAGTACAGGCACCTGCCACAATGCCTGGCTACTTTTTGTTGCAGTTCGGCTGGGGCCAGGTTTGAACCCACCACCCTCGGTATATGGGGCCGGTGCCCTACTCAGCACTGGTGATCATTACTGTTGATACATTCACCCTACCATAATCCAGCTAATTAAAATCAGGTGCTATCTTCCCTGCAGTGGTCACTTCTGTTTTCCTCATCAAGCTTTCACTGCACCTCTCTACACCTCTGATGTTAGCTTTTCTGAGAAAACTCCCCTGATACTCCAACCATGATGTAATGTCTTTGTGCTCTGAGCCCCGGAGGACACTGTTGCACCTATGTGACCCCCATCTCCTTGCTGTGCTGCAGGCTCCTTGGGGATGCACACAAAAGTCCTGGTGTCCGGCTCCTTCCAGCTCTTCTTAGCCTCCAGCCCCCTTGCTAGCACTCACCAAAAATCGATCAGTGAAACCTGTGGTTGTTACAGATCAGTAGCATGCTGGCTGATAAAAGCTTAAAAGATTCCTCTTTAGGCTCATCCCATTTTAAAAAGAGAATTTTTAGGGAAAACAAACAAACTCTCTGGATATAAAAGACTGAAGCTGAAGTGACTGGCAGCAGAGTTGATATTTTAGGCTAGGGGTTTTCCATCCTACTTTTCAATGCCAGCCCCAGGCACAGTACCAATCTTGTGGCCATGGTTGTCCTCAAGAACCAGGCTGCAGCAAACCAAAGGATCCTTTCGAACACTTACAAACTGCCTGGCCAACCCCCACCATGTCCTTTCCCTTCTCCCTTTTATCCTGTGAGTACAGAAGCCTTAACATAGCTTCTACTTAGCATACCTCCCCTACTAGAGAGTTAACTTCTGTGGGATAAGGTATCAAAACCCAAGGCCACATGACACCAAACAGCCCCATAGGCCAGAGAAATCACTGCAACCAAATCAACAAGCACTGTTAACATCCCTGGCAAGAAAGTAATTTTGCAAGATACATAACTATCTTTGTTATAGTTGTATAAATACAGTAGGATGTCTGCTGTGTATGTACCTAGTAAACTGGGTAAAATATAGATGAGTTATTACCAGCATCTTAGCCTAATTTGAATATGCCATGTATTTTTGGCATCTGGAACTATAACTCCATTTTAGAAAATTGGTTTAAATTTTATAAAGAACAACTACATTTGGTATACTTTCATTTAGACACGAGGTTCAGGATGTCCTTTTTAAATAAAAATGAGGTAATCTTGATTAGTAACCATAAACCTTACTCATTGTTAAATATTTTATGAATCTTTTAGTTGTGGAATCCAGCAAAGAATGAAAAGTTGCAAGAACGTTTTTTGCAAGAGGTACAGATGGGAGAACTTTGGTTATCTAGAGGTGAGAACATAAATGTTCTTCCGTGAGTTATTTGTAAGTTTACACATAAGAAATAGTTATTAGTATTTGCATGTCAGATAACCTGCAAGAAGTCCTAGCTAACGTGTCAAAGGGTAACTGTGCAGCATAGCCACTTCGTCATACTGTCCCCCTCCGCCACGTGAGCGCTATGCTGGCAGTTACAGAAGCAGGCAGACGGGAAAACAAAGCCAAACATGGGAACATCTCATTTACTGTCAAGTACATTGCTAAGTCAATGAATTTTACAAATGACTAAATGTTAATAATCAAAACCTTCTAAAATTTTAACTGGTTTACAAAATTTTTCCTATTTTCTTAGAATATTTTTTGTTTTTGGGTGAAGTTCCGTGGCATCATTATAGTTCACAGCAAACTCTCAGGTAATCCT